GAAATTAAGAATGTGATTATATTTAATAATATGAACAAACGCCCAGTGCAAGAGGAATGAAATAATGTCTATTATTAAAGAACTGTGCTGTTGTTATTTTTAATTTCAAATGCTTCTAAAAAGGGTTATTACAATGTTACACACATGGTATGGCGATACAGTACAATTAATATGTTTGTTTGTTTGCTTTTATAATGAAAACTAAAAGAAAAAATTTACAAAAACTAAAAACATATATCCAACAACAGAATGTCAGCCTGGTTCAATAAAAGGTGTAGAGTGGGAGGAACTGAAGATGTTTTAGAGCAGTGGTCCCCAACCCAGTCCTCGAGTCCCCCATAACAGTCCAGGATTTAGGGATACCCAGTTGTGTCTAAGGAGTCTAGGAAAAGAAACAAAAAAATCACTTTAGACACAACAGGGTAATCCATAAATCCTGGACCGATAGGGGGTACTTGAGGACTGGGTTCGGAACCCCTGTTATAGAGGGCTGGGGGACAATGGGGAAACTGCAGCAGGAAGTGTGAGGAGTTCTGGTGTTGAAGACCTGGGAGTCCTTTAAAGGACCACTCTAGGCACCCAGACCACTTCAGCTTAATGAAGTGGTCTGGGTGCCAGGTCCAGCTAGGGTTAACCCATTTTTTTTTAAATAAACATAGCAGTTTCAGAGAAACTGCTATGTTTATAAATGGGTTAATCCAGCCTCTAAAGCCTCTAGTGGCTGTCTCATTGACAGCCGCTAGAGGCGTTTGCGTGCTTCCCACTGTGAAAATCACAGTGGGAAGACGCAAGCGTCCATAGGAAAGCATTATGAATGCTTTCCTATGAGACTGGCTGAATGCACGCGCAGCTCCTGCCGCGTATGCGCATTCAGCCGAATAGGAGGAAAAGAGGCGGAGAGGAGGAGGAGAGCTCCCCGCCCGGCGCTGGAGAAAGGTAAGATTTTAACCTCTTCCTCTCCCCAGAGCCGGGTGGGGGGGGGACCCTGAGGGTGGGGGCACCCTCAGGGCACTATAGTGCCAGGAAAATGAGTATGTTTTCCTGGCACTATAGTGGTCTTTTAACTCTGCCTTGGATTTATAGTTGGAAACACAACATCAATGACATTTTGTTTTACCAATATGTTTGGACGTAATTTGTCTACGCCTGACAATAAAGATGATGTGAAAAAGTAACCCTTTGAGTGATTAAACAAATGTATCCAATGGAGATAATTAGCACAGAACAGAACGTTTTGTCTGTTTCTGCTAGTTTGTATGTGTTATATTATTGTGTTATCCCTTGTTTTGTGCGTCATAATAAATCAGGCAGTTCACATTGTAGGGGCTTCATAAAAGCCCTATCTGTCTATCTATCTGTCTATCTATCTGTCTGTCTGTCTGTCTGTCTATCTGTCTATCTGTCTGTCTGTCTATCTATCTGTCTGTCTATCTATCTATCTACTGTCTGCCTTTCTGTCTGCCAATCAACAATTTAATTTACTGTATGCAAACACACACAGTCATATTGCATATACACAGCCATCTGATACAATGTACACAAACACCGCTATCTGATATATTGCACACACACTCGGGTAGAGCTCCTTGCAATCAGTCAGTAAGAATTCCCATTATTATGTATATGGTAGTTAGCAGCAAGTAAGCACTATTTCTCCTGCATTCTTTCTTAAAACACTCAGAATCCCTGATGAGAGAGAGAATCTATTTCTCTCTCTTGCTATGGCTCCTTTGTTTTATATCTGTGTACTCGCAATGAAACACTACAGTATTTATTTTTATTTAATAAAGTCCAGTGCTACAACTGCTTATGAATCAAACAGCATCAGATGTAGCTAAAAGAAATATTGGTATTTTCTGCTAGCTCCAGTTATTAATCTGGCTCCAAGCCTGCTGTTGGTTTTATATATTAAGTGAAATTGAATGCCTTCGCTTCTTATCTTCCTCTTTTGGTCCATACCTCTCATTGCTGCACCTTTGTCTTATTGACTCCCATTTTTTTTACATTCAGATAAGACGGCAGTCCATTTAATAATGAATGAGGAGGTCATTAGCTTGCATTTTTCCATATTTCATTATTATAATGACAGGAAAGTGGGTTAGAGCTTATATAATTGGCATTTTCAACTCTTTTATCTATTTATTTCTATATAAATTACTGCTGTAGCCATTCATATCAAGTACCCAGGGATTTTAAAGGGGTTTTGTGAGAATTATATATATATATTAAACAATGAGCTACAATTGTTGAGAACATTTGACAGGTGGTCTGTCTTCAAGGTTCCTTAAGTACCCATGCTCAAACCCCTGTTACTATGGCTAATCAATCACATATCACACTTTTGCACATTGCAATTAAACACGCAAATTCACTTCCTCTGGACCATGTAACTTCTCACCATTGGGTATCATGTTTAAACTCATAGCCACTGAGGGTTCATTGTCATGTTGTGGTTCTAGTAGCCCACAAGCATGTTTTGTCTGATCTTCAATTTATTTGTTTTATAAGTGGGATTTCTTCTAACAACTTTGATCTCTGGATCCTTTGACTTGGTTAGCGTATTGATTCTGTGCATTTCTGGATCCCTGACTGCATTTTCTTTAAACATTTCAAAATTTTCCCTTATTTTGAAAGTATTTAAGGTCTGGTCACTCTCAGAATTAATATAATAATAATATACATAACTAATCATTCCTTCTTGGTTAGAGTTTGGCTCATTAGTTGTGAGTTAAGGTCATACTTCTCACTTAGAGGTAGCTACATTTCAAAACAAGATATCTGTCATGTCTGTAGACACTCAGAGGATCCCTATTAACAGGATACCCAGTTGAGATTGCTGTGCACTCTAACAGGACTCTGTCTGTGGTATTTGTGCACAAAAACACAAGCTTGTATCTTTTACACTATTATATACTTTACATTTTTTTATAGAGTAGCCAGTGAGAAGTCCTACGATTGACAGCCCAACATTGAAAGAGGGAATTTCAACCATTTAAAGACAAATTGAATTCCTATATGAATTCCTATATGGCACTAATTACACAATAAAACAGTCCATGATTGACTGGCACTTTTAAAGTCTGATTAATATTCTGCCCTAGATTGACACCCGGTTTACAGGATCAATGCACCTTTAAGGTTCTGGTACACCCAAGAGTGTTTTCCAGATTGTGTCTTGATTTCCTGCTTATGGATTTACCTTGTTGATAATGGTTTCTGATGTCTGGCATCCGTTAATTTGGATTGTGCCCATACTGATCTCTCACCTTATAGCGTTACAATCAGGCATTGTTTAGGAATGGAACATGCCGAATTGTCACACAGAACAGACCTTGTGAATCCACAATTATAGTACAGTTTTTTTGGAAGGTCCATCATTTAAGCTCTACCTGGCATTTTCTTAAAATCTTAACTTTTGAGCATGACTAGATGTCACTTTTATTGATGTCCCTAGGCAACTGCCTTTGGTGTGTTTTATTCAATTCAGCTAGTATACTAAAAAAATCAGAATTGTTACAAGCAGTTTTAGACACCATTATTTTAGACATCAGAATAAAGTGTTTTTGAAATGACAGACTAACAGTAAGGAACGTTCTGACTCACAGTATTATTACCATTTTAGAAATTTAGACATCAATGTGATCAGCAGTCCTCATTTACTGTCAGCTTATATGTTTTTCTGTTAGCGGCCTTAACTAACCCCTAGATCGAAAAGTTTTGAGCCGATTTCGCTGTTAAGTGTCGTTTCAGCAAGGAATAGGAGATTGTGCTAAAATGCAGTAACTTTCTGACAGTGCATTTTATTTTAATAAAAATACACACATAGGGAAAGCTGCAGCAAATTCCCTCTGGTCAGAGTAACAGTGATTTACATTTTACCCTAATGGAACAGAGCTATTTAAATTCCTCCACGGAGAGGATGAAAGAGACTCTTTCCACCGCTCAGACTTTTCATCGCAATGTTGCCTGTCTGAAAATGTTATTTGAAATCTAAAATCAGACATTCAGAAAGATGTAGAATTATATTTTTAATTCACTTTGAATCGGGTCTAAAGTTCTGGTTGGCATCTCCAAGATTTTTGTTTTCCAAAAAACAACAGCTGAATCTCTATTTAACCATTATTGTGGTGAGTAGAAGTAACTAAATATTCTGTAATTTATTTATATCCTTTTTGTCAATTAAGGGTTAGCATTGACAGCATAACGTAACATAACTGTAAGGGAACATAGAACCAAAAAGAGGGAGGTCTAAGGCTGAAAAGGCTGCAATAAATACAACTAAAAAGCTGGATGAAAGTCGGAATATTCAGACCACTAATGAAGCTAAAAAAAGTTGAAAAAATGCCAGCCTGCCTACACAGAGGGGTAGGCGGAGGTAATCACCAGAGGGGGCAAAAAGAGAAAACCCAAACATAGGAGAGGGAACCCCCCCTCCCCTCCTGTGCAATCCCCCAGAGTCAATAGCTAATATAAAGCCAGACTTGCCCTAAAGTACCTCGGCAATAATGCCTACCAGAACCTTTGTCCCTTCCTCCACTAAGTAAAAACACACACTTAACAACCTAAATACAGTGCATAGTGCTACCTAGTGATTAAAGTGAAAAAAAATAAAAAGTAGAGTAGCTCGACGCGCATTTCGTCACATACCGTCCTCCTATAGATGGCATTATGTGTATCCAGGACTCTCACAGAGTAGACCAGGACACACAATCACCATCCACCAGAACGCCCTATGTAAACGGGCGCCCACGTCACCAATCACCGCACAATTAGAGGCGGAGCTTACCCACACATGTCGGAAAGGCATCCATCCTCATTGGTAGGTGGGCGGTTTGTTTATACCCTGGACTCACATGGTGTCCCATGGTTAAGGGGGCGCCAGCTGAGTAAACTGGGATACATTGTCACAAGCTGCCAGAACACTTTTATAAGGCTATTTAAGCCGACACAAATTAATAAAATATAAAACATAACTCAGAAAAAAGTAGTTTGATTCCCAAAGCTGTCCTAATTAGGGTGGGTAATCGAATACTGAAAATTATAGCCCTCTTAGAATGATCATATTATTTATCATTTTTTTCAGTATTCGATTACCCACCCTAATTAGAACAGCTTTGAGAATCAAACCACTTTTTTCTGAGTTGTGTTTTATATTTTATTCATTTGTGTTGGCTTAAATAGCCTTATAAAAGTGTTCTGGCAGCTTGTGACAATGTATCCCAGTTTACTCAGCTGGCGCCCCCTTAACCGTGGGACACCATGTAAGTCCAGGGTATAAACAAACCACCAACCCACCAATGAGGACGGATGCCTTTCCTATCATCTATCAAGGAGGACGGTACATTCTCCACAAGTGCCGATAAGCCCCGTCCCCAAGTAGTGTACCAGTGCGATGATCGGCATTGTAGGCATAACTGATAGTTATGAGCCTAACCTCCATTTATTATTACACTGGCCCCTATACTGGACACTTTGGTCTGTGACAGGCAAGGCTGATTGCAGTGCCAGTACCCGACCCTGTGCGACACATATGAATATGTATGAAGTGTAGGCGGTCCTCCGGTGAAGCTTTCTCTTCTCCCCCCCTCCCCTCACGCCCCCTAATAGGGGAATGAACATAGAGGAGGTGGGGAAGTATTGTCATGTGGTGCCTAATGAATTGGATCGTTAGGCACACCTACATTACACAGCAGCTACATGTTAGCAATCAAGGATACATATATATATATATACACTATAGCCTACCCAGGCTTATTTCAATGCTCCTGACGACGGCGTGCTGACATGCAAAAAAAGTGCGTCGAGCTACTCTACTTTTTATTTTTTCACTTTAATCACTAGGTAGCACTATGCACTGTATTTAGGTTGTTAAGTGTGTGTTTTTACTTAGTGGAGGAAGGGACAAAGGTTCTGGTAGACATTATTGCCGAGGTACTTTAGGGCAAGTCTGGCTTTATATTAGCTATTGACTCTGGGGTATTGCACAGGAGGGGAGGGGGGGTTCCGTCTCCTATGTTTGGGTTTTCTCTTTTTGCCGCCTCTGGTGATTACCTCCGCCTACCCCTCTGTGTAGGCAGGCTGGCATTTTTTCAACTTTTTTTAGCTTCATCAGTGGTCTGAATATTCCGACTTTCATCCAGCTTTTTCGTTGTATTTATTGCAGCCTTTTCAGCCTTAGACCTCCCTCTTTTTGGTTCTATGTTCCCTTGCAGTTTTCCTTAGTATTATTAAAGGTAGGGTTTCCTTTCTTCCTTTTTTCTTGTTATCCTCCCCTTTAGGACTTAGTTGTCCGGATTTTTTTTTTTGTTGCTGTGTGCATTGAATTAGATACTGTGTGCAATAGTATAACATATTTTCAGGGTTTGTAAATCTTAATTGACTCTAGTTCAAGAATTTGACACTCAGCTTGGAAACTCTAATATAAACAATTTAAAAAGCATTCAAATGGACATTCACACATTAATGCCATAGTCCCCAACCCCGTCCTCACGATATCAATAGAAAATAAGCTCTACTTATTTAAACTCTTAATTCATTATTACCATGTTGTAATTTCTGTTAGCCCAATAGTGCATTTGTTGTGTATTCTGATTTGCAGGTATTGACCTTAACGTGTTTCTCTTTAATCATGACCTCTGTTCTACTATTTTACGGTTTCTTACTGTTTACTCTGATATTGCATGCCCTCGACCTTGGTTTTCTCTCTGATCACTGTATTTCAATAAATCTGATCACTCAAAGCACTGGTAATATGGAATTTCTTATTCCTTGGTTGTGTACTGAGGTTTGTGAGACTGTGGTTCCTACCAAATTGTGACACAAGACATGGAATCAGCTTTTAGGCATTTCTCAAATCTTTTCCTATGGGGATATTGAGATAACTCAGACTCTTGGTATGCATTAGTGACTGGATTGGGCACCACTTCTATGAAGAACAGCATTCGAAAATATGTTAAATCCAAATAGACTCTTTTCAAGTTTTGACACACTGATGTACTCAGTATAAACAGGGATTATAGACTCCAATGAATTGTTTAGAATTACAAAGGTTTGACACATTTGGCACTCTAATGTGTAAACAAAAGTGGTTGTGTAACCTCTTGACATTATTTGAAAGGAGAACAAGTTGGTGCTAGCTTGTATAGTTAAATATATTAACTTTCATCCCAAACAGGGAAGAAGCTTATAATGTGTATTTAACAAAATAGTGTGTGCCATACATTTTAAAAGAAGTGGATGCATCATTAACTGTGCATTAATTTACTTCTCACTGCATTGAGTAGGAGAGATGGGTGATAATGTAATATGTGCATGGCTCTCAATCATGCCAAGTGAGTTTTGGGGCTTGTATCAATTTTTACTTGTTGTACATATCATTTGAGATAATGTTAATACATGATATTTATTTCTGGATGTTGTGTTGTACAGGTCAGACTATCTTAAAATTATTTATGTTTGCCTTAATCTAAAAAAGGTGGCCTCTGACTGCAGAAGATATCATGGGTAAGATTATAGAAATTTGCCAAGTGAATTAAAATGAGGATATTTTTTTAAAGGGTATTTCGAGTGTAAAACCACCCTTGGAAGATAGATTTTTTAAAAGAATGTGAGTGAACCCCTGTCTATTCAACTGGCTTCATGAACAGTTGATAATCCAAGATCGCATCAAGAGGTTGTCTTATAAAAGCTTTCTTGAATGGGAGGAGATACCTTTAAATGGCAATTAAATGACAATTCTAATGGGAGATGAAGTTTAACAGGTGATACCAATAGTAGGAGACACCCAGAGATTAGCTGCAAGATTTAAAGATAAATAGCAAAACAAAACCCTAAAGGTGCTTTAATCTCTTAATAATGTGTGTTAATAATAATAGTGGTCATAATCGTAATAATAATAGTAATAATCATAATTATAACAACAATTATATTAAATAATTTACAAGGAAAGGATTGCATACATTGCCATAGCTTTAAAGCATATCCTGGGGTCTAGAATCATAACCCAAATTAGTACTTAGTATATTGACCTCAGAAGAATGACAGAACTTGCTGTGAATTAATCTTGTGATTAAGACATACTGCAGCTAAGTTATCTCACTAGCTCATATGCTAATATTTACATTTGTATCTGAATATTTTTGATATATATATATATATATATTGCTGTGTGTTGTTGTGTATATGTATGCGTATGTAAACAGACAGACATCTGATCTGATTTTTCCACTTCTATTTTTGCATTCCCTCTGAAATCTATCTAATAATTCCACTGCCTGGTACTGATTTTAGGTCACTGGAAAAATGTTAGAGTAATTAACCTCATTGAAGTCGATCCTGTTGATACACATCTTATTTTTAACCATAGTTTGGGGATGGTTGAGTCTGGAGAGATAGCTTTAAAATGCTGCAGCAGAAGTGGTTGTATTGCACGATGCTTGGAGACAGTTAAATGTATCTGACATTTCACTGCAGTGCCTTCAGCACAAATCCAGCTTTGCATAGCCCGGCTGAGACCCAGATGACGAATCAGACTTGTGCTGTGTGCACAGAACTCTGCTTTGCGTTAATATTATTGGCCCGTTCCTCAATCATGCCTTTTCCAGCTAGCTGCTCCTGTCAAAGTACATCTCATTAGGCCTGAAGGCTCAATGAAATGGAAATTCGTGTTTAAATTTAAAAACAACATATTGACCCTGTGAGCCACTGATGTCTACATTTTTAATAACTTACCAAGAATGAAAGAAGCAGGGTGAGTAGTCAGGGGCACACTTGTACTTTTAAGTTCCATAGTTCAGTTTCTGGTATTGTCCAGAGGCATTAAAAAAAAAGCCAGTATATTTAAAAAAAATATATAAATACATTCAGGAAGTTTTGCACATTAACATTTACCTGGATTTCTGTGGCTACAACACTGGCATGGCTGGACTCTGCATACATATTAATATTTATAGGTTTAATCATTTGCCCTGGATTGACTCCTGAAGCATTTTATTTTATTTCAGAATATCTTGACTAGGTTAATTCTGTGGATCATGTAAGTTTTTTTTTTTTTTTTCAGTTTTTTTATTTTTTGTAGTGGGTTTAGTGTACATACCACGTTGGCGCACAAGGGGTTAAATGCAAAACAGAGATTTGCATAAGAGAAATACGGAACTTTCAAAGCAAACTTTGTCCATCTGCTTGGAGATCATGTTTTTGGTTTGTATGTTTTATCTCTTGCTGTGATGTGTATTTAGAAACTTTTATGCAATATATAAGCAAAATGTAAAGTGAAATAAAATATTTCCGCAATAACAATAGTTGACTTGCGCAAACGGTTTCTCTCGACTCTCAATCCATCTGAATTTTGTGCAATTAGCGGGTTGTCTGGATTCCGTAACTCTGAATCGACATATAACCTCTTCATGAAATAACTGAACGAGACATGATTTGGAGTTTCCTCCATGGCACCAAAAAAACTAGATGTTTAATGGTTTGTAGACAGCAACTTAATCAAATCAATCAATTAAATAAACCAGGGATGAGGCAGATTGAACAATTAAAATCCGCAACTGAATGCTCAAAAATAACCAAATGCTAAATAAGCAAATGTTGATTGAATGTAAACTGAATTGGAAGGGGAAATACATATCTGGGGGTCATAACTTGGTCAGAATAGTGACCAAATTTTTTTTTAATTCCAATATAAATAATATGTATATATCAGCTGATCACTGATTGGACAATTTTCATACCCGTTGGCTTGAATTGTTTGTGCTAACAAATTTTCATGGATGGAATATGGACTAGCTGAACCACTGCATGGACAAAATATTGAGCAACATTTTTTATTCAGACAAATTGATTTGGGTAAACCAATTTTTTATGCCATGCACAAGTTTAATAAAAAGTCTATTATGATGAAAAGCTGACTATTTATCAAACTTTACAGTGAACTGACTATGGCAGTCTGAATTGCAATGGGTGAAACTGGTGATTTTTTTAGCAAACTGACCTTAAAAATATAACAATAAAAATACAGCATTTAATTTTAAACAGGCGTATTGTTTACCCATTAAATCTGAAACAAACCAATTCAAATACCTGGAAGATGCTAGAAGCTGGAAGGGTTGGG